TCATGGCAGCGTTCTGAACCTTCCTCCAAAGCTAGTGGGCAGATGAAACGCATGTTTTTGAAGCTCATTATTCCATAATAGCTGATAAATTAATATTTTTATTCTGCTGAGCACAGTGCATGAAATCCTTCTTTCCTTGGCGGGATGTGAGCGTGGAATTTCGATGGAGGTACCACTCAGCTTTCTGGTACACTGGGTGTCTTATTTGGAGTCAGAGGAGACTGTCATGAAGCCAATGGACACTGAGTGTGTCTGTGTGCATGCATATATATGTGAGAGAGAAAAAAAAACCCACCTTAATAATATTCATTAATTCAAGTTAAAATAGGAGAGGCAAATAGAAAGCATTAGTGATTGTTAGTAATTTAATCCAAGTTGATGTCATTAATTTCCTTGTGCGTTTTTGCCAATGCTGCATCAAAGACGTAGTGAGTGTTCTTACTGTTGCTGTTAATATGCTTTTTCTTGTAGATCTAGAAACCATTTGCACGTTAGGTTCGTGCTACATGTCGTGCGTGGCATCCATCATCCAGCACAAGCATGCAGCGAACTTTATGATGGTGAAGTATTTCCTCTGTTTTCAGCCAGCTCCTGTGTGTGCCTGCTGCTTTCAAAGAGGGGTTGTACCAGTGCAGCTGCCGTAAACCCAGTAGAGCCGGAAAGACGACCATGGACCTATATTTGTCTGTGACTGGAAACAATTTTTTAGCCAATCTGATATACATTTCTTTCTACAGAAGAGGGCAGCAAAAGCCATATGCTCTTTCTTTACTGCATCTATGAAGATGCTAAACCAAGTTACTTCAGTACAGCTATGAAGACTGGGTTTGCTAATTGATCTGCTCAGAGAAACAGGGCATTACATGATCGTTTTACGCGTAAGTTTCAGTTGCATGAAAATTGAAATATCAGAGACTTTTACACTGACTATTTGGGATCTTGGTTCAACTGGGGCCTCTAGTATTCCTGTAATATGAAGCTAGTGGTAGAATTGGAAGAGACTCCAGATCTATGTGATGGAGGCGCAAGGATCTCTGAGCCAAAGGTCAAAGCAATCGCTGATCCGTGAAAAATCTTTTTATCCTTCACTCATTTAAATCTAGTTCAGAATTGGCAGGGCCACAGAAGTATTGCTGCAAGGGTGTGGAATGCCTGTAGGGTCCAGCTGGGAAAAAAAAAAATACTCAGACTTGCCTCTGCCATCACTGCAAAGGCCACTCTTAATCGATTGAGTGTGGTTTTGTGCATGTATATATCTATGTATGTATATCTCTAATAAGATACTCTGGCAATTGTGGCAATCCTTTCCTCTCACATTACCCCATGTTTCTGCTGGGTCTTGTCCCTGTGTGGGGCTGAAGATTTAAGATTTGACAGTAAGACTGAAGGTACTTAATCTGGTTTAACTACAAGCTGTGGCTGAAAGGTGTGCACTGTCTCTCCCACCTTCTGCCCAGACATGCAGGACATGCACGCTTCCCCGTCTTTCTGACTTCATGTTGACTAGTTTGCTCAGAATCTCATCTGTAGGATGAGCACAGAGGTTTTTAGGATACAATTTATATATCTCTAGATGTAATTTCTGGATGATTTAATTTTTTCTGTCAAACCAATCACCAGAGGCTGCACTGTGTGGCATTTTTGCCATTTAGAGTGCCTTACTTTCTAACCAGTAGAATTCTCATTACCAGTTTGTACTACTTTGTCTTTGTTGTGTACAGAAGGAGAAGTCGAAAAGAACAGACTTCGTAGTTGGTAGGGAGACTTGGAAATGACAAACTTAACTTTGTTATTTTAACGTGCAGTATTATTACATTGGCTATAGTAGATAAGATTAAGGAACTTAGAGCAACTGGTACAGAATATGAAGTTTGAGTGTTAGAGCACTAAGAACCATTAAAACTTGTACCAGTATTTAGAACAGCAATATTTTGTAATTTGGCTAGTGATGTTTTCCTGTATTTTGGCTAGTGATGTTTACAACAGAAAGTTGGGACTTTCTGTTCATCTCATGAGTACAAAATATTTTTATGAACTTAACCATGGGAAAGTGTAGTAATCATTCTAATGAGTCTAACAGATTGGAAAAGGTTATAATATATTGCATCATGTATGAGGTCTTCTAGTGATGAGGGAGTGAACATTTAAAAATACTTTCATTTGTCATCTAATTTAAAAAAAAAAAAAAGCCTGCAGAAATTACATCGTGACTATAAATCTTGCACAGAAGTAATGGGCTAATGGTAAATATTACATAATGGGAGATGTGGGATTTTGAGACATTACCAGAAAGGCAAAATAGCTTTTGGTCATGAAAGAGTACTTGTTTCACCTTTAGTGGGCAGAAAAATGAGGCATTTTCAGTAAAGCATGCTGTTCAAAGGACCCAGAAAATTTAAGCTCAAACGAGAGATTCCAGAGTAGGAGGCGTTTTCTTCTTGATTAGATCTCTAGTGAAAACACTGCGGTCAGGCACGGAACTGAGTGACGAAACACAAGGGCTCCTGATTAAAACAACAAAATGGTTCTTGGGCTGGAAGATCAGTGCTGTGAAAGAATAAAATGCCCCTGTTTTGTTTAAATAGTTAGACTAAAGGAGATAACGTTCTGATATATGCCAAGGGGATAGGATAATTTGTTGGTTTTATTTTTATTTTTTTTTCAAAAAAAAGCTAGTAATAAATTAGGAGGCAAAAATAGAGATTGAATCAGTGATTGTGGAAGCCTCTAAAAGTGCCATATATAAAGATATTCTGAAAAAAAAACCCTTTCTAGCAAGGGGGATGTGCAGCACAGAAAGGGGAATGGAATAGTTGCTGCTTAATAAGCTTACATTCTGTATTTCTAGATTGTTTATGCTTTCTTTTTTAGTATGCTTTTAGAGGGGAAGCTGTTTGGGCAACTTCTCTGCTGTCAAAAGATTACTCACCTTTTTCATGAGTTTAGCTGTCACTGGTGAAGGAAATGGGGAAGGGACTGAAGGTTCAGTGCCTCTGCAGAGGAAGGGCTGCACGCAGGAGCTCTGGATTTGAAGCACGTATTTAACAAAGTTCTTTGCTCCAGGTTGCAGGAGTTGGGGAAGGAAAGCCCTGTACCAGAGGAGCAGTGTTTCCTACAGATGTTTTCCACTGCCCTGTTAAGTTTGAACTGCTCAGGTGCTTTCATGGTCCTCAATAGAACTGGGCAGACCAGCAATGAAGAAATCCTGTTAACTTGAGAGAATTAACCGTGTGATAGGATCCAATAGCAGACATTCTGGGATGACTCCATCATGTGCTAATATACACTAGGACCATAAGTACTTGGTTTTGTTCCTAGTCATTCTTTTCCTATATATTATGCTTGACAAGATTGGTATGTAAAGACGGTGATTTCAGGTCAAGATATACAGTGAAGACCGAGACGTATTTTACCAGTGGAAACAATATGATATCCAAAAAAATATGACCATGTTGTGCCTATGGGCACAGAAGAAAATTTTCAGAAATCATTTCTATTGTGACCTTGATAGGTTAAAAAATAGGTTAAAATGCAATTGTTTATGTGCTGCCTTACTGGCAGAAGCTAGCACTATTTTAAGAACAGTATATTTTCCCCTTCAAAAGGCTAGGCTACGGCTCACGGTGAAGAACTGCGTTAATCGTGTCCTGCCTGTCATACTGGGAAAAAACGTGTATAAATCAAGTTTCAGTTAGGGTTTCTGTGGATTGTCAGATAACACAGTAACTTGGCAGTAGGAAAAGGTTCTTCACTGAGATGGTGGTTGGTCACTGGAACAGGCTTCCCCGGGAAGGGGTCACAGCACCCAGCCTGCCAGAGTTCAAGGAGCATCTGGACAGTGCTCTTAGTCATATGGTTTATTTTTAGGTAGTCCTGCGAGGAGCAGGGAGTTGGACTCCTTATGGGTCTCTTCCAACTTGAGATTTTCTATGATTCTTTGATTATGCCAGTGGTTTTTAGCATATCTTTTTAGCATTCTTACTGGATCACCTAGCAGTATGAATGGGATGCTGATGACACCTTAGATACAGTCATATTTCTATTAAATTAGTGGAAAATACTGACTGCTGGAGGTAGATTGACTATTTCTGATTCAGCCTGAGATTAGAGCAGCATATACAAACCATAGTTTTTCTGGTACAAAAACTTTGAGACTAAATCATCTTCTCTCTTCTCCTTTTTTTCTTTTTTTCAAATTGAATTAAATAATCAGTTATTTCTTAAGAAATCTGAACTTGAAGACTGGGCTTGCTTTCTATTCACCATTTCCTATTCCGTCACTGAGGTTAGCATACCACGCTTGGTAAGTTCATGGAAGTCTGGCTGATTCTGGGTCAGTAGTCTGCTAAAATGTTTACAGGCATATGGTAATTCCAGTGAACCAGTTATCTGAGACTACCACGTACATATATCTGTATATATGTGCGTTACCTTACTTCAGGTAAATTATGCACTTTATAGAATCATAGAACAGTTTGGATTGGAAGGGACCTTAACGAACATCCAGTCCCAACCCCCCTGCCATGGGCAAGGACACCCTCCACTACACCAGGTTGGCCAAAGCCTCATCCAACCTGGTCTTGAACACTTCCAGGGATGGAGCATCTACAACTTCTCTGGGCAACCTGTTCCAGTGCCTCACCACCCTCTGAGTGAAAAATTTCTTCCTTCTATCTATCTAATCTAAATCTCCCCTCTTTCAGTTTAAATCCATTGCCCCTTGTCCTGTCACTACATGCCCTTGTAGTCCCTCTCCAGCTTTCCTGTAGGTCCCCTTTAAGTACTGGAAGGGGACTGGAATGACTTTAAGTCATTTGTAGATTTACAGTCTGCAATTCGTGTACTCCAGAGGGTGCTACTGTTCTAAATGATGAACAAAGTTTTGCCCTGTTGTAGTAAACTGGCACTATAATTATGTTTGAGTGTATAGTCTTCTTATCGATAGGATCAGTAATTAGTTCTCCGTTCGCTGGCAGACATACCCAGAAATCCGTGGTCAAATGGAACTGATTCCTGTGCATATTGTGTTATCGTACAGAGATCCAACTGCGAGAGCTGCGCTGAGCCGAGTGCAGATTGCAGCGTTTGAGGGTGTTCAGGGCTGTGGAAACAGGAGACTCGCACACATGAGCAGTGGTTTGCAGGACTGGACCCCACGTGTTTGCTGGGTGTGTGCTTTTGACTTCGGTAAGGGCTGTTGTTAAGCTCTGTGTCATAGTGTTAAAATTGAAATAGTAAAATTGAAGTAGTCTAAACCTGTTGCACGTTAGCAAATGATTTTCCTGTTAGTTTTGCTGCCAATTGAAAGTCGCACCTGTTTTAATGCTTTGTTCATTTATATGAAATGAAACTATATTGGTTTCATGGCATAGTAAGATACTGTGGAAATGTGTGTAGAAGTTACGTAGTTTAAGGGAAGTATTTCAGATCTTTTTTATATATTTGAAACTTTTTTAGTGGTTACTACTTCATTCGTTGTCCTTGCCAAAGTTCAGTAAGTGATGTGAGTCCGTATTAGGCTGCATCTGTGGCAACTATGTATTCTAGAGTTGTTTAATAAAGATTTCTCACGTTTTGGAACGATTCTGGCGTATTTGTTCGGTTAACTTTACTGCTGCTGACAGCTGACCTCACACTTGTCAAACTTCCCTTGCCTAGGGATCCTGACACTGAAAGCTTCCTTCCTACGGAGGTGCTCCCAGAGTTGGTTCACAGGTATTCCATGCTCAGTACTGAGAGCAAGAAAGTGTAACAGGAGTTTCAAACTACAAATCAGTGGAATTCTCTAAATCAGTAACACCAAAGAGTTTTATTCCTCATCTCTCAGTGAAAAAAATATTAATTTAAGCGTGTAATAAATGTCTTTATGATAGGATTTTGCATTTCTCATATTGTAAATAGGAAATAATTCAAGCAGTGCATGACTGCATTTCCTAAGTACAGTCAATAAAATAACTAGATTCTATTTCACAGCAAACTCATGCTAAGAATTTCTTAGAGTTTGTTCTGAAATGCCTGAGTCATGACTTCTGCTGTGAGTTATTTTTTTAGAGATATCAAGATAAATTCTTGCAGTTTGTGGCACAACATTTGGAGAATATTATTGAATATTGTACATTTTTATAGAATTTATTGGTTAAAGCCACTTTGGAGTTATGTCTCTTTAAATAATTAAATGTCACTTTTGTTTTCAAGCCCCAGATTGCTTAACTTCAGTACTTACTATTACTGTTTATTTTCAAAGCTGAAGTTGTTTGTTGAAATGTGAAACGTGCCAGAGTTTAGTTGTTTAAAGGTTGCCTTATCCAAATCATGTTTAAGTAGAAAGACTGAATTTAAAGGAATAGCATCTCACTAATTAATATTTAACAAATGTTTTGGGCACATTACAATCTGTTCGATGGACTTAGTGCTAAAGAATAGAAGAGCCTCTCTGCCTTTTTGTGGTTTCCTAGTTCCATTCCTCTCACAAAGACGTAAGGAGTTGCTGATATTTGTTAGGGTAAAGCATCGTGGGAGGTTTAATCTCTCTATATGGTGAAGTTACTGTTCACTTCTGAAGAAACTGGGTAGTACTCTAAGCTTATTTTTCAGTGTTCAAGAGGCAGCTTTGCTAAAACATTTATTGTGTTATGTAGCCAATATAATTCTATTGAAAGTAAATTTGTGTTGTGTGACGTCCGGTAATGCATTTACCTCGCCTGTTGCTATATCAGAAATAAAATCTGCGAGCTGATCCTGTTCCCAGTGAAATTCAACAATAATGTTACTGTTGAATTCGTGAGGATCAGAATTGGAGTTTAAAATGTTTTTCAAAGTGGTGAATCTTAGTTTCTCAGGGACGTTTGAGTTGTCTGTTGTTATGAATTGGTTGCTTTTCTCCTGAGGCAGATGTGGTGTTATCTTTGAACATGAGACCTTCCCCTCTGCTCTGGCTTTTGTGGACTTCTCCCAGGGTAGTACAGATATCTTTGTTTTTCCTGCACCTATTAGATTAACATGGTCCAGCTGATGCTTCAACATAAACAGCATTACAAAACTTCAGCCATGTCCAGACATCTTCAAAGATCTTGAGAGATAATTTTAATATTTCTCATGTGGAATTTCAGAACAAATTTGGAGAGAAAAATAAAGCCATTAATAATATTTCTTTAAGTTAGACTTGTGACGCAGTATATTTCACTTCAGCTTTTGTTATTGGCAAAAATATTTGATAATATTATGCTGAGTATGCACCTCCTGTAATAAAACAATGGATTTCAAACTTCATGTGTATTTATTACAAGAAAACAGTATTAACCAGTAACACGAATGCTTTCTTCATTGTTATTCTCCTTATCCATCGCCTGTTTGTACGGAATTAATTGTTGGGCAATGTTTCAGTATGCCATTTCAGTATAAACACTTTCTTTGCTTACTACCATCTGTTACCCATAATACTTAAAATATCCTTAAGAAATATGTTGCCAAAGGCAGTGTTTTCAGTTGGTTATTGTGACGTTTGGTTCTTCCACTCTTGAAACCAGAGTTTCACACTCTTGTGGACCTCAGTGGGAAAAGGATTTTCCAAAAGCAATAATGCATTGGTTTAATGTGCAGTATAAATTACTGTCACTGATGAGGTAGATTTAGTTTAACATAAAAATGGACAAAGTTACTTTTTTTAACACTCGATGATGTGTTCTGGTTTTGGATTGTGCAACAGATTTTTGCTTGCATATAATAAAAGCGGGAAAGGTACTCTAAGCTTTGGCTTGAGCAAAGAAGGTGCAGAGAGAGACTGATACCATATCCTTTTCCAACTTCGGTATTAGAGTAGTTCTCTTTTTATCAATGGATTATTATTTCTTTAAAAATTCTCATTTACTGCAAAGCAGATACATGCTGCCTAAGGCATACAACTGACAGCTTCCTAGAAGAATGTCTGCTTGGTAGGCCTGGGAGACTGGATCAGTGAATTGAGTTCTGATTTATCACAGGAATCCTAGTGCACAATAACTGCTCATAAACTCTTCTTCAAATTAACTACAGTGTCTCAAGTTCTAGTCTAGAAAAAGCAAAACTGATTAGTAAATCAGGCACTCGCAAATTTATCAGTGCCTTGATACTTTCTTTAAAAACAGTATAAAGTTTCTAAGCATAGTGTTTCCAATAAACTAGTTTTTCTAAATGAGCTAAGTGGATACAGATTAATATGAGTGGTTGTTCAGACGTTGTTCACATTGAAATGAATTTCCACTGGCGTTGCGGACTTCAGTGGGAGCAGGTTTGCATCTTTTTAGTGGTACTCATTTTATGTTAATAGTTAATTGTGAAATATGTATTTCAGTATACCTTATTATACACTTTACTGTTGAAAATCACGTTATGTATGCTTTCTTTCACAAAATACTGTGTGATGGGATGTTAAAAATACAAGGACATCAAAGGAAGAATAATTGTGTTCGAGATAGTGGGTAGATTCAACCAGTATATGCATGTATTTTCAGACACTGAAGGCCGTATGGGAAGCTTTTATGTAGGTACAGATTACAGAAACATATGTCCTTGATTTTTCTCTCTCCCTTTTTTCCTGCAGGGCTAAAGCTTTTCGTGGAAAAAAGATCCATGGAGAATATGACATAAAGGTTGAACAGGTAACTAAATGACTTAATCTGAATGCTATTTTTATTTTTATATTTATGTATTTATACAAATAAATATATATGTATGAATGCATACCTCCGTGGAGGTATTTAAAAGATGTGTAGACGTGACGTTTAGGGGACAGGGTTTAGTAGTGAACTTGGCAGTGTCAGGTTAATGGTGGGGCTTAATGATCTTAAAGGTCTTTTCTGACCTAAATGAATCTGTGATTCTATATGCATATATGTACAGATAGATACATAGTCCTTTGTAATTCAAAAACCCCTTGACATTTAAGTAAAACACTCAAAGGTTTAATTATGTTCCATTCTAACATGTCTCTTATTAGAGGATTCTGACCATAATTTGCACATTAAAAACATGTCATATTCAAAAGTTGTTGCTTAGAGACTGTGAATTTCCCAGACACTCAGTGAATTACATGTTGCATTTGTGCATCACTAATTCCTTCACTTAAGAATATACACACACTCTGGTTGCAGTGCTAGCATGTGGAATTTTTTAAAAAAATTGCTGAATAAATACAGAGATACAAGCCAGGGTGCATTAGAAATATGGCTATTTTATTTAAGTGAGATATCTGAAACTAGGAAGGCAAACAAGTCTTTTCACTGCTTTTCGGTATTGAATACTATGAATAGATCCTACTGTAAGAAGCTTCAGTACTTAAACTGAATTATTTTGTCATTGGAATTTCAAAGAGTGAGGGAAAATTATCACTAGCTGTGTGGATTCAGCTTATCTAAATTCACTGCTGTAGCATGGCATCTAGCTTTGCTCCATTCTTTACACCATTGAGTATCTGCTGATGTTCTTGGCTTGGAAACATGGAAGGCTTTGCCAGGGATCTTCAAGAGTATTGAGGGAGAAATGGGAAAAAGAAGACAAGCTGTTTTGTCCCCAAATGCTATTCACACCTAGATCAGACCATGCAGCTGACATCACGCACACTATCTCTTTAATATTAACAAAAGCTCTGTGTAAGCCCAGAATTTCCTTCTTGTGGTCCCTTGTAGGACCAGAGCCACTTTTAAAGATTGAAAGTTTCTGAACCCTACTGATCGCTTTGTAACACATCAACACTGTGACAATCATATACAAATAGTTATTAATAACTTCTTCAGTGTTCTCTTGTTAATACCAGAGAGCACTGTTTTATTTTTATGCTACTTGGAGCAACCTGTCTATAACATACAATATTTTCTGTCATGTACTAAGCTTTAAACTACAAAATCTATATTATGAACCCTTGTAATTGTTTAATATGATTTATTAATTGGAGAGATCAGTTGTCAATCTCAGATTAAATAGCTTTTAAATGGTTCTTTAACACTGTCAGCACTTAGACGAATATTTCAATCTCTCTCCAATTGCAGTGCTTTTACAATAATCTTAAAACTGCCCCTTGTGTTTAGAACGTTGTAACAGTGATCCAAGAAAGTATATAAGCATATGGGGTTTAATGAGGAGACATCCACGCTTGAAATCAAGCACATACGTGAGCTATTGAGTTGGAGCGATGGTTAGAGTAGTCAACACTTGCTTTAACTGAGTACTAAATTCTGAAAGCCTTACACAGATTTTACTTAGGAAGACTTTCAGTGATACCGTTTTTCAAGAAGAGACTAATGAGAATTCTGACACTGTCTATTCTGTGTTAGTGTCTGGGATAGCAAAGGCACTTTTATTTATCCACTAGAAGACAGTTGGCTGCATTTCAATTATTCTGCTGTGTAATGTTATTGTAAAGTGCCTTGAGAGTCTAAGCTGATGAAAGACTGTGGATAAATGAAAAACATCCTGTCCTTTCCTTTCAAATAACTGTAGATTCAGAGTATGGAAGTGATTCCTTTTTAATTCCACATTTCCAGTGTGAGAAGATTCTTTGAAAAAAGTCTTTATTTGTGAATTTTGCCAGTCAGCTGTTTATTAGCTCCAGATCATTTAAAAAGTAGAGTAAATGCACATAAAGAAAATAGAAAGGGGTAAAGTATATGAAGAGACACTAAATGCTATAAGAAAATATTCTGTCATAGTTGTTTTAACATTACTTTTGTACTATTTTCTTCAAAACTTTATGCAAATGTTTGTTGAGTCTCTATTAATCTCTTTGATAACATGATACAAAACAAAAATATAATCTCTAAGCTTCTATGCAAACATGAATGAGAAAATACACTTGCTACTGCCCTGCAGTCCTTTTTCATATTACTTTTTTGCTTTCTTCTATTAGAATTTATTCAAATGTAATGTGTCATATCGGGCAAATACTGTTGGATTAATATCCTTCTAGTGCTCATCGTATTTCAGATGTATATTGTCAGCAAGTCAGATACTAATGCTTAAAAGAAAAGATTTAGGAAAATAAAGGTAAAATAAACCAGACTGACTAATGCGAGTCTTCTTTTCACAGGCAGAATTTTCAGAAATCAACTTGATAGCCCATGCTGATGGCAATTATGCAGTAGATATCCAAGTGTTTCGAAATGGCACTAAAGTTGTCAGGTAAGAAAAACCAAAGAGAATAACAGCAAAAAGCAGTAGAAGCAGTAGATGGCATAATGTATGCACGTAGAAGGCACCGAATGATTTTTTTTGCGTATGTGCTAGAGGGGTTTTGACTGATGCAACGCACCTCGGTCATTGGCCTGAAGGGCAGGAAATAAAGTATCTCATCAGTACAGTAAGTCCTGTTTGTGACAGGAAGGAAATTTCTCCACGTTTTGATCACGTGTAAGATGGATTTGATTAAGATGGCAACGAAGTCTGATATAAAGAACACGATTGGGAGTTAGGATTATTGATTTGGGTCTCGTCTTTGCTTCAGAAATAGACAGTCTTGACGATTTTGTACGTGCCAGACCTTCCCAGATGAGCAGTGTTTGTATCCAGTGTTGAATGTTTTCTGTTGAAGCAGGCCAACTCACAGCACTTCGCTCAGGATAGTTACTGGAATATCACTGTCTGTTTGAAAGATTTCAATTTAAAAGCCTGAGATTTCTGAATAGGCTGTTCTGTCCAAAAAGAATTATTCCAGCTGAAGGCAGGGTAATTTTACTGGGTTATTTCAGTGAGGACATCAACAGCTCTGTAAATACAAGGGAAGAAAACAGGGGTGTGTCTGGGCAAAGTAAAAGCTTAAGTAAGTATTAGCAAAATTATTTCAGACAGTCCTACATTTTATCAAATTTGTGTGAATTACTCCTATTTTGGCCAGTGTGGTTACGTATGAGTTAAGTGCAGCAGTTGTTTGGCTGAACAACTGCATTCAGGAAGGTAGATCAAGCCACTAACAGTGACCTGGGAGTTTACTGGTCATGTTTATCTTCAGGCAGAGTGAGAGTTCAGGGAGCTGAATAGCATAAACTACGTCTTGTGTCGTTGCGTTTTTGCACAACATCTGTCTAAATAAAAGATTTGAAAAATTCTACTCATTCATGTACCAAAAATCAAGGAAAATATATATTGAAAATAAGTGTATTTTATGCTTTAAAACTCACAACTGTTTAACCTCTTGTGTGTTCTAAAAATACCACAGCTTCATACAACAACCACTTATGCCAAATCCATAAGATTATTTCCTTAGAAGAGGAAGAGATTTTATTTTTTTATTTTTGAGGGCTTTTTTTCCCAACGATAGATGTTTTGGAGCCAGGAAATCTTGATCACTGTTCCTTAGTGGCTGTTCTGTAGAGAATTTTCCAAATGGAACAAAAATTTTGAGGCCAAGTTAGCATCAAAACATGTCCATAGTTAATGCGAGTTTGGAACCTCTAGAAACTAGCATCTCCAAGGATGTATATTTGCAGTTTGTGAGAAAACCTGGTAAAACTGCTGCTTATGTTAAGAAACAGAGAAATCTTCTTGTGTCATCAGATAACTCTGATAATGAGATGACAAAGGATTTTACTATATTGCCAGTTTCATGGATAATTTATTTAACCAAGTAGAACTACCTGAAGATGATAGATTTCACTCAAATCCGTGTGAGATACCTGCGTGTGTGTGCGTGCTTCTGGTGTGAGAAGGATCTGCAGACATGATGGGACAGCAGTTCTCTGTTTCTATGATAACTTATCTGGAGATACAGAGTATTTTTGAAAAACAGAAGTATTTTTCATAAATGTTCTATATCGTCAGATAAGTGCTAGCCTTTACGTTGCTTTAAGCCTAGATGGTTTGTGAAGTTTATTGCCTGGAGCTTGGAATGTGCTGCTTGTATCCCGAAGAAGTGCAGAGATAGTGATGGATATTACTTTACATTTTCAGTTGATAAGAAACTTCATTGAAATACAGCATTAAATATGGGTCAGACAACAGGATGTGTGGCATGTTCCTTTGCTTCTGTCTGTCTCAGCTACCAAGAGAGATGGGAGGAGCTGCTGGTCCCACTGGCATCAAAGTTCATATTGAATATGGACTATGAGCATATTGCTAAAAAGGCCTGAATGC